TTTCTAAACAAAACATACATTCTCTCCCTGAGACTCTGCAACCAGATTTTCTAATTTTGTTTCTTCTCTATTGATCAAATACTAGATTATAATACTGTTACTAATAACGTAAGTGCAAGTGGGAGAAAGACGCAGTGAAGAGGTATCGGATATTATGAGGATATGCAAAGGGAATGTTTACTTGTGTATTATCATTAGTGAAGACATTTGAGACCTTCCTTAAAAAGTACTTATTATTTATTTCAACAATGGTTTTTGATATATATTTTTGCATAACTGAATGAACAGTTAGAACGACTAGAAGATCATATCTTTTTATTAGGCCTGATAATCACTTTGGTTCTTATTCTAAGAGTAACAAGAGGCCTGTGGATGATTTTGATTAAGAAGATATTTAAATCTTTGAACAATCTTGCTGAGCATAATTTGGGGAAAACGATGGAAGAGGGAAAGATGGGAGGTTTCTCAGAGTAGTGCCAGAGCGGGCTAGTATCTGAGTCCACTGGTTCAGGAAGGAATGATGAGACTGGATCTGGGAGACATTTAGGAAGGAGAAATCACAAGAAATGACAATGAATTGATGGATAGAAGGTGTGGTGAAGGAGAAGAGGAAAATCCACAATGAACCTCAGGTTTGCCCTTTGGGGAATTTTTTTCCCTACTAGTATAAAATAATAGCCTTGTGTTTATATCCTGTGAGCAGGTGGCAATCCAGTTGGTGCGATGAACAACACGTATTGTCAGCTGAATAATGTTTTAAAATTTTTCAGGAGAGACCTATTTTTCAGCTGCTAAGTGCCTCATGGCAATCCTTTTTTTGTTTTTTTAGCTGATGAAGACATACAACCATATAAAGTTGCCACATAATAATTTTGGGTGTCCATGTCTGGGGTGTCTGTATCTGCAGTAATTTTTCTTCCGAAGTCATTTCCAGTTTCATTACCCAGTTACCATCATCAGTTATTTCATGCTCCTCAAAGTCATTTGGAATGAATCCTTGTTCCAAAAGCAAGCCTGGTAACTTGTTCCCTTCAGCAAAGTTTCCCGTGCATTAGCGTGTTAAAAAACGGACACACAGCCAAGCACAGTCCCAGCACTTTGGGAGGCTGAGCTGGGTGGATCACCTTAGGTTGGGAGTTCAAGGCCAGCCTGTCCAACAGGGAGAAACCCCCTCTCTATTAAAAATACAAAATTAACTGGGTGTGGTGGCCCATGCCTGTAATCCCAGCTACTGAGGAGGCTGAGGCAGGAGAATCACCTGCACCTGGGTGGTGGAGATTGTGTCACGGCACTCCAGCTTTCCTTATGGTCAACGTGCCCCTCCACTCAGCTCTGGAGTGCTTGAGGGTCAAGTAACCCTCTCTGTAGAAGTGAGTGCAGTGCAGCGTGGCAGGTTGCAAGGTGTGCCAATTACAACACAGACATGTCTAGAGAAGTGGTCAATAATGTATACACAAAACAAATGACTCACCTTGATATCTGTATCCTGTAGTTAATTCTACGATGGTAGTGGGAGTGTTACAAAGACACGATTGTTTTTAGACTCTGATGAAAATTGGCTTCTGTCTATGATACAAAAAGATGTTAAATTACTTCACTAAGTTGCTTCAAGGCTATGTGATTTGGTAATTGCTTTGATGGTTATTTGGTATAAAAAAGTAAACAAATTGAGGGCCTTAGAGAATACTGAAAGATGTCAGGGAAGCCTGACCCTTTCAGTACTGAAATATTGCCTCAAAGTTTAAATTATCATGAGTTTAAATGATTTTGAGGGCAGATCTTGTCAGTATCTTTTAACAATTTTTAAAACTTTAAAAATATTACAGGAACTATTTCAAAATACTAAACCATCATTCATGCAGATTCCTAATAATACATTTTCAATATTTTCCTATTGACAGTATGTGGTATCAGTCTTTCAGCCAAACTCAAGAAAAAAAAATGAGAGCATAGCCCCCAAATCCCAAAATGACTTTTTAACAAAATAATTTCATTAAGTGGTTTTAAATTTTAGTAATAAATGTCACAAGTATATTGATAGCAGGTAACACATTTTCACCTGGCAGATTTCTTACCTTAAAAATATGTTACCTGAAAAATTTACATCTCAAAATATCAAAAACCATCTCCTCTTTGGCTAATTTAGGCTTTTGAGTTTGTAACAGTGACTAAGAGGTAACTGATCACTCTTTTTTTTCCCTAAATCGGATTGATATCCAAAAGCAAATCTTAATTATCACTAAAATGAGAAATGAGGATTGCCACAATAACTAACTTGGAGGATGCTGAATGCTTCAAAGTAAGAATGTCTCTCCTCTAGTTACTGATAATAAATCAATTATTATTCTTAGCAACATGTTTCCCAGGGGAAATGTCAGTTATTATGCAATTGTTTCACAGCATACTTTTTGTCAGCAACATTAAAAATCAATTAGTTTTCATTAAAAAGTGATCATGCTTTGTTTTCAAAATCAAGTCATTTATAACTTGGCCCAAGAACATCTAAAATAGAAGTATTTTATAACAATTCTTGTTTTCTCCATATTTTATGTTCAAGTTGGAATTTTTAGTAAAGGTAATAAATAATTCTGTTACATTTATATTGGTCCTGATGTGGATTTTTATATTATTTCAATGAATGTACATTCATAAAATCTTTTATCCTAAAACTTCAAATCATTCTCTGCATTAGACATTATTCCGTATCAAATGGAATGTTTATTACATTAAACCACTTGAGATCATGTATGGTGTTTATTTATTACTGCACTGTAGCTGAACCTGTCCTGCCTAATATATGTCACAAAATGTTAGGTCCTTTGTGAAATCTTAAAACAGATTGATAGATCTTTTAGATAGTTTCATTCTGTGGTCTCAATTAAAACTTGGAATCCATTATCTTTGATGTAAATTAATGTATTTCTCGAAGATGCTAATAATCAGTAATTTTAAAAACTTAAAGCTCTAAAAATATTACTTTAGCAATATAAAACTTAAATGTGCCTATATGGCTATGCAGTGTATTTACAAACCTCGACTTCAGAACCTACCTCATATCTCTTAATAAAAGTGTCTCATAGCTCCTGTCTTTGGAAAGTCAGGAATTTTCAGAGAAAAAAAAAATACATTCTGATGAACTACTGACACTTTCTTAGTCTATATGAATAATACAAATATTAGATAGTGGAAGCCAACTTAGAAATGTTTCTTTTTGGAATTGTATTTAATTTCCAACTACAAAGATACCTAGATTGGTGTCACTAGAATGAAACCTATTTTGTGTATGATACAAAAAGAAAATACAAATCTTTATGTGGAACTATATTATGTTTCCTTAGAATATGACTAATTATAGTGCAATTTGTGAAAGATTTCTATTACTTATTTTTAGAAAAACAGGTCGTTTTGTTTCTACTAACACATATTTAGATTAAGTAATACAATACAATTCTACTGGATAACTATATAAGCATACTATTTAACTATAAGCAAAATTCCGATTTCTAAGAACAATTTTCTATACTTTTAGACTGACCTACATGATTAAAGCTGGCTTGTCTATCTTTGTCTTCCCACAAATGAGCTAGACTGAAGGCAGTCCTCTAAACAGGTAGAGATCAAAACGAAATCATAATGGCCTAATGCTCCACAGGACTGAGTGCATCATCTGTCTGCAATGTTTCCCAGCAGGTGCTATTTAATCTGTTGAATTTGCCCAGTCTGTCTCTCATATTTGCAGAATTTGATATCATCATTATTTCATTAAACAGAGAACTGCGGATTAGTGCATCATGTATCAGTCGGGGTCCTGTTTGGAGAGAGAAACCACAACAGTGATTTGCATAGAGAACATTTTATACAGATTTTTTTTTAACTATACCAGAGCAATAGAGTAATATCAAGTTGGTTAGTAACAGTAAAGAGAACTGGAAAATAATATAGCAATAGCAGACATTAGGAGCATCCATCATTTTCAAGGCCAAGATAAAGGGCTCCAGGACTGCACTGGAAATCAAGAGGGCACAGCTGCGGCTCACACAACAGCAGAGACGTCACCACAGCGCTGCACTGACAGAACTTGCTGGAATTCCACTCCCTAGGGTGCTAGAAAGCGCTGTTGATGGGAAAGGGTCTCACCGGAAGGACACTATTACAAAGTCACCTAACGAAGTGCTGAGGGAGCTTCTGGCCACCGGGTACGGAGCCCTTGCCAGGAGTGGCCATCCGTAGCAAACCGTCAGGAGTCTGGCGCTCTGGAAGCCGCATCTTCTGCAGGAGCCAGTCCTCTGGAAAAAGAGAACACGCTTTTCCTGGGACTTTCCCATCTGTGCTCATGGATGTTTCCCAATATCCGGATCAGGATGCACAGGAAGCCAAGAAAAGTCCCACAGAATTCACCACCATGTCATTCTTCAAGTCTCAGCTCCCTGGTCTGTCCTCCTCCCCCTTTGCTCTGTTCAGAATCTTCACAGGCCTGATTTATACACAGTATATAGGAGGGTAGTTGTGTTTAGCAGGAGGAACAGGAAGAAATGGGTGGAACTCGAAGAACTGCCTGGAACTGGAGGTCCCTCTTTGCGTTAAAAACTGTTTTTTCTTTTCTCTAACCAGTGCTTCTCTGACTCTTAAATTAGCATATTGTGATATTATTCTGTGTTGTAAAATATATGTCTCTTCTGCCACCTTCACTAAGGTTTATTTTTTTTTCTTACCTTCTGTTTCTTCTTGCCCCCTTTCTTCCCATTGTTAATTTCCTACCATCTCCACTCTCTTTCCCTCCTCACTTCTTTTCTGACATGGTGCAACTATTCAGAATCTATTAAGACATAATTCAACAGAAGTTTATTTATCACTACGTTTTCCAATGAGATCACCTCCATATTTATTTTGGGTTTAAAATATAAAAGCAACAAATGAATTTTATAGTTCCAGAACATAATTTATCTAAGCAACTGAAGTTTTGGCAAAAAAAAAAAAAAAAAAAAAAAATCAAGAGTTTTCATCATTAGAAATAATTTTATTATTCATTTTAAAGCAGTTCAATGTAACTGGTAGCAAAATGGTACAGACCAATAAACAGAATCAATTCCCATTGGGCTGCAAGGGCTATTACTGACTTTATATTTTATTTTCTTGTGCAAGTATAATTATTTTAAAAAGGCAACAGTTCATTAAAAGTCTTTTATAAACATGTTTTTATTCTTTAAATAAGAGAAAGGCTAATAAATTATCATTATTGTAGCAAGCTGGTATGAACTGTGTCAAATATTAAATTTGGACTAATGTTCATAGTCAAAAATAATTATCTTAAAATTTATGAAACAAAATTTTTAATTATATAGGAAATATAATCATATCCTAGCTTAAAATCCTAGTCTTGACAACTGTCATAATGCAAAAATACCAAACATCAAATCTTGTGGGGAAATAAAAGATTTGTAAAATCTTACATTTAATCCTAAAAATAATGAAGTAAAAAAGGTTAACTTAAACATCATACTTGACTCTTGATATGCAAATATAAAACAAGTTCATTAAATGTATTATTTTTCTCTGTTACATATATATTAGTTCCATTCTGCCTTCAGTTTTTAACAATTTATATGTGAATGTGTGTGTCAAATATATTTCACATGTTTATAACATATACACATATATGCATACAATCTTTAAGTTTTAAGGCATGCTCCCAATTTTAGCTAACCTGTCATAAATTCTACTTCTGTGATCAAAGTAGATTAAATGCAGGATCTCTGTTTTAGGGGTAATTCTTGGAGTTCTTGTTATTCTAAAATATGGATAATGTAAAATACTCAAAAGAAAAAAGGCATTTCATAGTCTCCAAGTCAAATTATACCAGGACTACAATCTTTGATTTCACATTGCACTTTACAATTTTATTTCTGTAGAATTATTGAGAGAACATTAGAATATCTTAAAATTTTTTCTTACTCTTTAAGTTCATCTGTGTCATTATGGAAAGAAAGGCAAAAATGTCCCTTTCTAGTCTTCTACGTATTCTTTGTTGTTGAATTAAACTCAATGCCAAATTCAAAAACTAAAAAATACAAAATTAGAAGAGTATAATTTAAATTTACCAATGTTTCCTTTATAAGACACATTTTAACACACTTCCACTACCTAGAAAACTATGTATGCATTCTCTTATGCTTTTTTGATCTATTTCTCTAGGGAGAAAACACAATACAGGTAAAAAATTGGTGTTATCAACGGTCAATTTATATATAAATTTATAAATCAAATTCTACATGATTTGTATTAATGTTAAAAGCCAAGAACTACCTATTCTTGTTTTACGCTTTTCTCTCATAATGTTAAAATATAGCTCATATAATTTCAAAATTAAGCCAAAATCTGTAATACAATCTTTTTTCAGTGTTATTGTTTCATTACCAAAGACATAAGAAGGACTTTTAAAGTTTTGAAGTGTCTTTGGGGTTCATAAAAGGTATAAATTATCTTTAAAAATTATCTTCTGTCAATTTTAAAAGTATTTTTCTAATGAAATTTACTATATAAATACATGAAACATGATAAAGCTCAAGAGTCTAGTGCCAATCATTACTACATATTTCAAGAAATCCAGTTAATGTTTCAATCCTTGAATTAAATTTAAGTCAACAAATGTGTATTAAGTATTTTCTCTATGCTAGGCATTCTTTTAGGAGAATAATAGATATTTGCTTTAGAGTATGCTGTTCTTGGCATAAAATGTTTGCTAGATATAAAGTTACCAAAAAGTGCAGGAACCTAGTGTTTCTTTTCATTTATGTTTTAGTTACTTCAGTGTAATAAAACATGCTATGACATCTCAAATTCTAAGATAAATATTTTTATATCATAAGGCAGACAAAAAACGTTAAAATGACTTAAAGATTTGTATTCTAAAGCAAACTATGATTCTTACACAAAAGTCAGCCACACAAGTTTGTTAGTTAATCTCTATGTAGAGAAGACCAGACATTTATGATGAGCTCAACTTTGTAAAACAGTGAGTTTAAAGAATATAATATGGCACATTTAATTTTTAAGAGGGGCAGCAACATTCTGTGTCCACTGTGATGCAACAAATATAGTTAGATTTTGTCAACTTCATAAAACCTTAATAATTTTTAAAATTGGTTTCATATAGTTTGGATTACTATAAAACAATTAAATGTCAGATTTAAATATCTGTATTTTAATATCACTTTTCAAACTTATTCCACTGACGTCCTTCAAATATTAATAGGGAGAGTACCAGTAAGTAGTACATTAAGTTTCTAAATAATCTATACTTCTAAGAGAAAAGATTATGTTTTTAAATATGAGAAAACTACATATATTTCCATCTAGTTTCTTTCATGCCAGCAACACTTTTGTGGTTTCAAGCAAGATCCTTGCAGGAAAAAGTTTCTCATTTTATTTTTATCAAAGTTGAGTTTCCTCCCGAGCGTCTTGACCGGTGACATTGCAGATGCTGTTTCTTCGACTGGGGTCACTGTTCGGAAGGTAGGCCAGTGGATCTGGTCTAATTAAGTATCTAATAAAAAAAAATAATAATAACTTTGCAATAGTAAATATAGGCAATATTAATTCACACCGACAGTTTATATTTCTACTTTATTTGTTTAGTTTCCAGATTACCTAACCTGCATACAACACTGGTGGCAGAACTTACTGTTTAGCTGGCCTTACAACTTGGCACTGCTAATACCATTTTCAGACCTGAGAAGATGATGATGATGAATGCTGATGGATCAAGCACTATTATTTTTCTTCTTCCTCCTCTTTTTCCCTGTGCATTTTGGCTGTCAAGCACCATTATCTTTTAATTATGATCAATTTCAACACTTTCATCACATCAAAGTTTTATGACTTAGTATGCTATTGACTTATTATCCCTTGCTTTGGCCATTTTTCTATGAAGGAGATCTACATTTTAGCCATCCTTCTTCCATTACTTAACTGTTCTTTGTCTCATGTTTGTCACTCAAAAAATTACAAAATTGGGCCGGGCACAGTGGCTCAGGCCTGTAATCCCAGCACTTTGGGAGGCCAAGGCGGGTGGATCACGAGGTCAAGAGATTGACACTATCCTGGTCAACACGGTGAAACCCTGTCTCTACTAAAAATACAAAAAATTAGCTGGGCATGGTGGCGCGTGCCTGTAATCCCAGCTACTCAGGAGGCTGAGGCAGGAGAATTGCCTGAACCCAGGAGGCAGAGGTTGCGCTGAGCCGAGATCGCGCCATTGCACTCCAGCCTGGGTAACAAGAGCGAAACTCCGTCTCAAAAAAAAAAAAAATTAGAAAATTGATATAAACAATTTCTATAGTCTTTTCAATTTAAATATTTTATGAATTATGAAATTAACAATTTAATGAATGTTACAGTGAATATAATGTATAATGTTTAAATTAGCTGAAAAATTATGCATTTAAAATTCAGGTTATGGTGATAACACTAAAGTATAGAGAATAATCCTTAATTAATTCTGCTAATAAATAGAAAACTGTTTATCTGCCAAACTCAAACATTCCATTAACGTGAGAATCTGTTGCAAGAGCGCTATCTTACTTCAGACTGTCAGACGATGTGCAGGCATACAGTACTTTTGCTGCTTTTCACTTGGTTGCACTTTGCCAATATGTCATTGCTGATACAGGGAAGGTTTGTGGCAACCCTGCATCAAGCAGGTCTACTGGAGACATTTTTTCCCCACAGCAGGTGCTCACTTAGGGTCTCTGTGTCACATTTTTGTAACTTGAACTTTTACCACTGTACTTATATCTGTTATGGTGACGTGTGATCAGTAATCGCTGATGTTCCTACTGTCATTGTTTTCAGATACCAATAACTGCAGCCACATAAGAAAGTAATTTTAATCAATAAAGTTGGTGTTCACTCCACCAACTGGCTGTTCCCTCGACCTTCTCTCCCTCTCCTCCACCACCCAAGACCCAAAAATATTAAAGTTAGATAAGGTAATAACCCAAAAATGATCTCTAAGTGTTCAAGTGAAAGGAAGAGTCTTATGTCTCACTTTAAATCAAAAGCTAGAAATGATTCAACTTCGTGTGGAAGGGACATCAAAAGCTTATACAGGCTGGAAGTTAGGCCTTTTGCGCCAGTTAGCCAAGTTGTGAATGCAAAGGAAAAGTTCCTAAAGAAATTAAAAGTGCTACTCCAGTGAATACAAAATTGATTAAAAAAAAAAAAAAAAGGGAAACAGGCTTACTGCTGAGATGGCAAAAATATGAGTGGTCTGGAAAGAAGATCTAGCCAGCTACATTACCTGAAGCCAAATCCAGAGTGATGCTCTACTTCTTTTCAATTTTCTGAAAGGTGAGGGAGGTGAAGAGACTATGGAAGGAAAGTTGAAAGCTAGCAGAGGTTAGCTCACGAAGCTTAAGGAGTCGCCTCCATAACATAAAATGCAAGGTGAAGCAGTCAGTGCTAATGGAGAGCATACAGCAAGTTATCAAAACTCTTAACTATTAATATCACTGATGAAGGTGGCTAAATAATGAATTTTCAATTCGGGAGGCAGCCTTCTATTGGAAAAAGGTGCCATCTAGTGCTTTCATAGCTAGAGAGGAGAAGACAAAGCCTTGTTTCAAAGCTTCAGAGACAGGCTGACTTTCTTCGTAGGGCTAATGCATCTGGTGACTCTGAATTGAAGCTATTGTTTATGTACCATTCTGGAAATCCTAGGACACTTAAAAATTCTGCTAAATCTAGTTGGCCTGTGCCCTATAAATGGTAAAACAAAGCTTGACTTGTCACACATCTCTTTAAGGCACAGTTTACTGAATATGTTAGGCTCACTGTTGAGACCTAATGCTTAAAAGAAGATTCTTTTCAAAATACTACTGCCCCTTGATAAGGCACCTCATCGCCGGAGAGCTCTGATGGAGATTAGTGTTGTATCATGCTGGCTAACACATCTGTTCTGCAGCCTGTGGATCAAAGAGCAATCGCAATGTTCATGATTCATGGGCGGAGGTCGAAATAGCAACATTAACAGAAGTTTGAAAGAAGTTGTTTTCAACCCTTATCAATGACTTCAAGGAGTTCAAGACTTCAGTGGAGGAAGTAACTTCAGTTGTGACAGAAATAGCAAGAGAGCTAGAATTAAAAGTAGAGCCTGAAGACGTGAGTGAATTGCTGCAATCTCAGATCAAAACTTGAATGAATGAGTTGCTTCTTATTGATGAGCAAAGAAATTGGTTTCCCAAGATGAAATCTACTGCTGATGCAGATGCTATGAACATTGTTGAAATGACTATAAAGAATTTAGATTATTACATAAACTTAGTTGACAAGTAGCAGCATGGTATGAAAGGATTGATTCAAGTTTTGAAAAAAGTTCCAGTGAGGGTAAAATGCTATCAAAGAGTATCACATGCTACAGATAAATCTTTCATGAAGGAAAGAGTCAATCAATGCAGCAAACCACTTGTCTTATTTTTAGAAATTGCCACATCACTCCAACCTTCAGTAACCACTGCCCTGATGAGTCAGCAGTTGTCATCATTGAGGCAAGACTCTTTGCCCACAAAAAGAGTATGACTCCTTGAAGGCTCAGATGATTGCCAGCATTTTTAAGCAATGAACTATTTTTTAATCAAGTAAATTTTTAGACCCAATGCTTTGCTTTTGCATACTTACTAGACTAAAAGTATAATGCCAACGTAAATTTTGTATGTACTGGGAAACCAAAAATTTCAAGTGACTCACTTGATTGAAGTATTTACTTTATCATGGTAATCTGGAACCTATCCTGCAGTATCTCTGAGTTATGCCTGAATATCTTCAGGGTCTGCTTCTTAAGCACCTGTAGGAAACTATGCTAACACCTTAGCTTTTTTTTTTTTTTTTTTTTTTTTTTTGAGATGGAGTTTCACTCTTCTTACCCAGGCTGGAGTGCAATGGCACGATCTCGGCTCACCGCAACCTCCGCCTCCTGAGTTCAGGCAATTCTCCTGCCTCAGCCTCCTGAGTAGCTGGGATTACAGGCACATGCTACCATGCCCAGCTAATGTTTTGTATTTTTAGTAGAGACGGGGTTTCACCATGTTGACCAGGATGGTCTCGATCTCTTGACCTCATGATCCGCCCGCCTCGGCCTCCCAAAGTGCTGGGATTACAGGCTTGAGCCACCGCGCCCGGCCAACACCTTAGAATTAAAAAAAAAAAAAATCACAAAACCTGAACTCTGTCCTGCAGAAGATTAGAGTATAATTTATGAAGCAGATATAATGAAAAAAAGAAAGAAATTTCAAACATCCTATGAAGTGATAAAGAACAACAGAGAGAATTAGGAAATCCTTTATTGAGGGGTTGGGTTGAACGTGCCTTTCCAGGCTTCAGAGAAGATTTAGGAGGAAGAACGGGAGGTGATCCCGAACGTTGATAATGGAGACCACAGAGGACGCATGTTTCTGATGTGCTTAGAAACAAGTTTGACTTTAGAAAACTGCTAAGTCATCGTAGGTAAAGTCAGAAACAAAGGTAGGAACCTGGTAAGGAAAGACCTTAAGTTTCACAATAAGTAGTTTCAATTTGTGTTCCGAAGGCAGCAGGAAGCCACTGAGGTTTTGAAAATGAGAGAAGGAAAATACATACATGCAACACGGCATTGTAAGAAGGTAATGTTCCAAGTGCAAACGAAGTAAGTATTTCCTACTTCTGTAATAATTTTAAGAGGAAGTATATAAAATGAACAGGAAAACTATTAAAAAGTGGGAACTCTAATAATTAAAGATTGTACTTTTGTCTTAAAAAACTAAAGGGAAAAATTCATGAAATATACTCCTTAATGAAAAACAGAAAAGGCAATCAAAAACACTGAGTCTATTTTCTTTGAATAAATAAAAGTTGAGATAAGTGTCCTTGGATCTATTAACTGGATTTTGTCATCCATGCACACTGCTTTAAAACTGCTTTAAACATCAACAGCATTGTAGATTGATGAAGAAAACTAAGTGCACATTATACTTTTTAATACCATATCATCTAGTGATTTATTATTCTTTGTATCAAGTTAATGTTGCTTCTTCATTTAAAATGAACTTTCAACAGTGAATTTTTAGAAAAACATAAAAGATAACAGTATATTACACTATCCTCTAAATTCATTGAGGTAGTCGTAAAAGCTCCTTTTCCAATTATTATCACTACAAAACCTATGAGTGCAATAAAGCAAATTTCTTAAACTGTGTTTTTATATATTATTTGTCATGGTTGCCATCTTTCAAGTGATAATTCATCATTATTCGGTTCTCCTGAAATTTAATTATCTCAGTGCCATCAATACAGATCACTGCAATGGTGTAATAAAGCTTTTTTAATTTTCTTAATAGCAGTCAAGTTGATGTTTTAGCTTAAAACTAATAAAAAATATCTAAAAGGCAGAAAATTATCTGCAAATTATGTCTACTTTACCTGTCCATGTTGGGACATACATATTTTATTTCTAAAAGACTGAAAATTATTTGAAATTATAAACATAAACAATAGGACATGTTCATAGACTCAAAAGTTTAGCAATATTTTCTTTGAACATTATGTCAAAAACTGTTCTGGGAAATACTTGTATTAATCTTAAGAAATATAATTCATTATAAAATACAAATAAGGTATGCATAATTTTTAAAATTCTATATAGTTAACACAATTATTTGAAAAACAGGTATAAGAAGGCTGGAATTAATATGAGTAGATTAGATATTTAAAAAAACTTATGTGTTCTTATGAACTTAAAAGAAAAAAGACATATAAATATGGATGCTAAGAAAAAAGAACAGCTTTATTTTATTGTACCAATATACTACATGAAGGAAATCCAAGTGCATTTTAAATATGTTCTCCTCTCACTTGAAGTCCTGTATAAATTAAATAGCACCATCAGATACAATTTTTGACAGTGACTTAATTCTACCAGCTTATATTTTTATTCATCTGATTCCCCAATGCTCCTGCATTCTAACTAGTATTATCAGATGGCAAAATAAAGCAATATTATACTTGATAGTTCTATCTTAGGTGCATTCTAGGAATCTCTTCACACTTATTTGGGGTCTAATTTACTCCTGCTGTTGTATATTGCCAATAAATTTTTGAAATGCTTCCTGTTTCTGCCCTAAAAAAAAAAAACACTTCTCAATAGTGCAACATTCATTTTCTACTTTTTCTTCTGTATTCATATTTTTGGGAAAAAAATTCCCTAATTAGCCTTTTTTCAGCTGGAAGATTAAAAAATATTTTTTTCTATAGAAAATTAGTTTATCTTAAAAGTTCTAATACTATGTGTCTACATGCTTTCTAGACATTTCCTCTTTGCACTTAACATATTTGAATGAATGGATCAAGAAAATTTGTGGTATATATACAAAATAGAATACTATTCATCCATAAAAATGATGAAATTCTGTCATTTGCAGCAACATAGTCAGAACTAGAGAACATAAGCCACAGAAAAACAAATTCATATGTTTTCATTCATATGTGTGAGCTAAAATAATTGATCTCATGGAGATAGTAAGTAGAATGTTACCAGAGGCTGGGAAAGGTAATGGGGAGGGGAAGATAGAGAGGGATTGGTTAATTAATAACCAAACTACAGTTACACAGAAGAACTATATTCCAGTGCTTCATAGCCCAGCAGGGCAACTATACATAACAAGACTTTATTGTATATTTCAAAATAGCTGGAAAAGAAGACTTGGAATATTCCTAACACAAAGAAATTATAAATGTTTGGGGTAATGGCTAACCTAATTATCCTGATTGATTATTACATATTTTATGCATGTATCAAAATATCAGATGTACCCCCTAAAAATGCACAACTATTACGTGTCAATAAAATTTAATTAATTAGAAAGTCAATATTCATTAATAATACGTATATACCTAGACCCACATATCATCTCTCTTTTTTTTTTTACTACCCCACAACTGCTTTCCAGTCTGGAAATTTTGTCTCCCTGTTCTGACTTGTTCTGATGAAACAACATCTTATGTTTATTTTTTGTAATCACACACTTTTGAAACCTTAAAGCTGTATTAGACTTCTTTTTCAAATCCCAAATCAATAATCAAGTCTCATTTTCTGCCTTCATAAATCTATTTAAGGGGCTTGCCTTTACAATGCCTTATCTTAATGCTATGACAGATGTCCTTTTTCCTCACACCTGCTTTTTTTTTTTAATTATTATTTATTTATTTATTTTTTTGAGACGGAGTTTTCGCTCTTGTTACCCAGGCTGGAGTGCAATGGCACGATCTCGGCTCACCGCAACCTCTGCCTCCTGGGTTCAGGCAATTCTCCTGCCTCAGCCTCCTGAGTAGCTGGGATTACAGGCACGCGCCACGATGCCCAGGTAATTTTTTTTTTGTATTTTTAGTAGAGACGGGGTTTCACCATGTTGACGAGGATGGTCACGATCTCTCGACCTCGTGATCCACCTGCCTCGGCCTCCCAAAGTGCTGGGATTACAGGCTTGAGCCACTGCGCCCGGCCCACACCTGCTTTTTAACTGGTTTCCCTACATTCAGGTACACCCTGACCCTAACCCAGCCTGTCAATCAATTCTCTTGTTTTCTGCAGAACTCCTTTAAAAGAATCATAGCCTTTCTACTCCAGTCAAAATCTTCCACAAAACTGACAATATATCAAATAGTCTTCTAAGTTTCTGCGTATTATTACATTTGGTTCTGAACCTCCTGCATGGGTCCGACTGCTCCGCATCACGGAATGCTCTCAGACCTGCCAGTTGCGACCTTACCGCTTGCTTGCTGGATTACAGACGCAAACCTAACCTATGGACCTAATATCTAACAAAACCTGTGGATCTCTGGCATTCGTTTTATGTCAGTAACACGATCTATAGTTAGCTTCCTTGGGTAAACATCCTCTTTTGTGTGTGTGTGTCTGTGTGTGTGTGTGTGTGTGTGTGTGTGTGTAAGAAGTGTTTTATTTTCCTTGCAGTAGCTTTGTTAGTTGCACAAAATCATGTTTTTTTGCCATTAAAACATTATCACATTTTTGCCATTAAAACATTATCACTATCAATCCTATTCTGAAAGAGAAATGTTCATTACAAACAAAGCAAAAAGAAAAATTCAGAACTTTAATTACCTAGATTTGTCATTTAAAGGTTTAAAGAAAAACGGAAGGGGCTTTCTCAGAAGCCTTTTCAAAAGTGTCACAATTCTCCTTAAAAGGGAAGGATTTCAAAACAAAGGTGGAATCGATTAAACAGAAATATCCATAAAAAGAAACTTTACAGAATTGTCAACAATATTAAGACTACACTGACTAACTGGTTTCATTACCACATGTTCTCCCGCCCCACCCTAGTGTGTCCTGCCAGGAATAGTGCAGGCTTTGTGTTTGGACAGAAATGCTTCAAAATGCCAGTGAAATGAACTGTGCTAAAGCCCGGACAGGCATCTTTCCTGCCCTGCCCTCTTGTCTTCTACAATTCTCTAACCCAGGACCTAATCTGTGGAAGGGTCCAAGGCCATGAGCGGGGAGGGACCCTACCACAGTGTGGCCAGCTTGTATGTAATTATGTATTCCACCATAAATGCTGGACTTCCTTCTTGTACCATAAATGCTGGCCTTTCTTCTAAAAATTATGATTTTGGAAAATCCAACCCATGCAGAGGGATAAAAATCTCACATGCCTTGGGTGACTTCTCCTTGTTTTTTTTTTTTTTTTTTTTTTTTTTTTGCGACATCCCAAGTCCCCTCTGGTCCCCTCTCCAGGGAGAAATGTAGGACCTGGAGGATATCCTAGACCCACCTTGAAGGGTCAGTCAGTTCAGGCAGATCAGGCCCAGGTCTAGTCCCTCCTGACAGACCCCAGGCATGGAAGACCATGACGCTGGCTGGAGTGAAGACACTTGTCTCCGTATCAAGGGCTGAGCCTAAGAAGTGTTCATCGTTGGTTAGGTTGGGGCTAAACATCATTTGATCTCCCCCAAGACAGGAATAGGTATCTCAAGGGCACATTATTGCAAGGAATTTCTTTCCTAGGCTTACACCAACGACTGTCAAAGTGCCCTTTCTAAAATCTGGCTGCATGCTTGCTCATACGTCTAAGTGCTGTCCATCATCGATAATGCCAACTTTAAACACAATTTTGTCACCTAAGGCCTTTCCAGAGGCAAATCCCATTACATTTACCTTACAACAGAAATGCTAACTATACAAAATTTCTACTCCAGTCAAATTGCCACTGAAACACTTCCTGGAATTCCTGTGTAGTGCATTTTCCCAAACCATTCCTCCTGTTCTGGAACGTCCTCTCTTCTCCACCACCACACATTCATCTATCCTTCAGAGTCTAGTTTAACTCTCATATTCTTTATCATTGCTCCAACCACTCAATAATGTCTCCTTGTATTAATTCAGAAAAGCACTATCTCACTCTACTGAGGCTTAGTTTACTAGTGACAAAGTCATATGATATATTTCTATTAAATTTTTCATGTGTAAACTGTAGTTTTGTTAATTAGAATGTAAGGATTTTGCAATCAGAGAAAATGTCTTAGTCTTCCTATCTCACATCATTAGGTAAGTGCTACAGTTGTATATGTTCAATAATTACATTAGGTAAGTGCTACAATTGTATATGTTCAATAATTATTTTTCAAGAAGTCAGATTAGTCCCATTGACCTTTTTCTATTAAGTGTTTGACCAGTTGTACTTAGGCTTTTGGGAACTTGAAAGTATTTAGAAGTAGACAGTATGGGATGTTTCAGGTTTTCGGTGAAGTTTCTCTTTTATTCTTCCATGTTTTCCTTTATTTTTCCAAGTACTTATTAGCTCACAGAATTCAGAATTCATGCTATTTATTTTATACCTTTTAAAACAATCATATTTTTTATATTATTACACATAACATATCAAATGCATTTGTTTATTTATAAAATTAGACATAGACTACTTAAGCACTTATAAGAAAAATAAGAGGCAACTATGGCCTAAATAAAAGTACAAAAATAAACAGTAGTTTTCTAAAAAATACATGTTTTATACAAGATACAAGATCAACTTACACAACATCATTCAGCTCTATCCTGGTATCTGGAGATGGGTTAATTAGGATGTAGGAGAGGGTACTTTGATGATCATTCATTTCATCTAGAAGATAAACAAATGCCAAGTTTGTTAAACTCCTTACAGAAAATTATGGGAATTATTATCAAACAGTTTATGTTCAAACCACATAACTGTCAACAAGAACTTGGTATAGTTTTGCTCACAGCATGCTTGTGCACATAAGTTTGGCTATTTTCAAATTACTGTCATTGAAAATATCTGACAGGTACCCATTTTTTGTTCCAATAGATGATAAAAATAAAGTATCTAATTCTGTTCAGAATAACCACAGTTATAATCTACCCTTTATGCTATTGTACTGAAACAAGTATTTTTCTTAAATAAATGACTAAAGCAGATGTTTACTTGATTTATTATGCTTTATCAATTATAAAAAAACAACTATGGTTATAGATAATAATCCTAGAAAAGAACATCAACACAGGAAATTCTTAGGAAAATAATATAATTACATTGCATTTGGAAAACATGATAGAAACGCGTCTAAAAAGCTTGAAGACCCTAAATATGTGTTTGGCTTCGCTACACGACACATCTCATATACGCTTTAGTAGAATACAAAGAATCCTGTGGAACAGAATTTAACTATGAATTTTAGGGGAAGTGTACTGCTAAATTATTTGTTTTTTCTAAAGCAATATATGTTTTTAAAATGAAAGCTGTACCCTTTTAATTTTATTAATTCACTCTGAAGACATCCTCAGGCTGTAAATTGAAATGTTGACCCTGCATTATACAGGGCATTGAAAAAAAAAAAAAAAAAAAGGCAAACAGCTTTGGGGTCTCATTTTTTTAGATTCCAAGATTATCCTAAGATGTAAATATAAAGTTATGTGGATGTATACTTCAATAAAGTGGCTCCTGAAAAAAGAATTAAATTTTTCATTTTGCCCTAAAATCTAGGAATCAGTTTCATACCAATCTAAGAATCAGTAAAATACCAAAACCAAACAGTAATTAGTACATACTCAAATTAACTGCATTAAGTTAAAATAAAGATATTTTAAAGCCAACATAGCTGACCCTGATAAACAATTTTTGCAGTGGAATATGAATTACTTTCACAAAATAATGTTGACCACTATGTTCGTCTAATAAGAAACCTGTCACTTAAACATAAAAGGCATTATTTTCAGCTACGGTATTTCAAGTTGACATGAAAATGTGCCCTATTTTTAAAGTGTAAAAACAAAAATCATTATCTAACAAGGCAGATAAATTACAAAATAATTAAACCCACTGTAAGTTTGCCAGTAAAATTATTACAATCACAAACTCACCAAATTCATAATCAAATAAATTAGTATATTCAGTTGCACATCTATGGGATAGATATAAGGAACTGTATCATGCCATAGTGTTAGGGTTGCCAGAAAAAATAGACAATGCCCATGAAATCTGAATCTTAGATAAATAACAACCATTTCTGTTGCTGTTGTTGGGATCTCACTCTGTCATCCAGGCTGGGTACCGTGGCTTGATCATACAAATAATGTCTTTTAGCATAAATGTATCCCAAACATTGCATGTGATACACTAAAACATTTTTGTTGTTTATCAGAAATTTAAGTTCCACTGGGAATCCTGTATTGTTATTCACTAAATCTGGTGGTCATATCTAGTGGTAGATGGCTAAGTTAACTGGCTAGAGATTAAAATGCCAATGAATATATATTGACACTTACTCCAAATAAGGTATAATTCCAACTGAAAACATATTTTACTGCAGGAGATTACTAAGGTTATTTCTCCATGTGAAAAGATAATTTGATTCATAGGTGATTTTTAAGAAATGCCCTCTTGTGTAAATTTCTACAACCATTATGCAAAGGTACAGAGATTGATAGTGCATCCTGGAGACTAAAATTATAATAATAAAAAATGTAAGAGGTAGACTAGAAAATTACCATCTTTTTTGACTATATATAACTCCATTTTTTTTTTAATAAACAATGGCATTATTAAACTGTGAAACAGGAAAAACAATTTAACAGATAACTTCTCAGTCAATATCTACACCTAATCTTTATCCCTGATTACTAACAGGATATACTCATTTTTGGTTCTAGAATCCAGCCCAAACCTATTGATGACTTGGTTTGCCCGTTAAAAATGTAATAACTGTGTGGATAACTGAGAAATTTCCAGCAGTAGATGTGACCTCTATGCCAGTATTTCTTCTGCTTAAGTAACACTGCTTATTTATCCCACTGAAGATTTTTATTTTCCGATGACCACAGGCATTGGAGCAAACATTTTGCTAATGTTTTCAATTCAATTATTCTATATGGTTTACCAAGACATAGAACACATCACAATCAGAAATAATCTCTCCCAGTTTCTTTCCTCATCCCGCACTGACGTTTCCTCAGGGAGGAGGAATTACTCGTCCTTTAGAATTAGGTTAAAAGAAGTTGCTACATGGACACAGGAAGGGGAGCACTTCACACTGGGGTCTGTTGGGGGGAAATAGGGGAGGGACAGTGCGGGGTGGGGAGTTGGGGAGAGACAGCATGGGGAGAAATGCCAGATACAGGTGAAGCGGAGGAAGGCAGCAAAGCACACTGCCACGTGTGCACCTACGCAACAATCTTGCATGTTCTTCACATGTACCCCAAAAGCTAAAATGCAATTAAAAAAAAAGAAGTTGCTGCCTTCGAAGCTATTCTCTGTTTCTTTCATGTACGCCTTGCTACAGGGTTCATTCTGCCTGCTTGTTCCCTGACAGGCTGCCTTGTGGAGAAGGCTTCTGGTTGCCCCTCCTTTGAGACTTTGGGTGTAAGAATTAAGGAGTGAGATTTTCTAAAAGCCTATTGCAGTCACACATCAAAACCACATTCAACAATAGTTTTTAATAGCCACAGTGGTATATTTTGTCTCCATCAGTCATTATGGTTATTTTCTAGATATTCTTTAACTCAGGAGGTGAAAATGTGGTAGTTTTATGGGATCTTTAAGATCCCATCATGATAACTGTCATTACCATGGCGAAGATATAAATTGATTAAAATATGGCTCTGCACCAAGAATACCACATTCACTGAATAAAGTATGTTTTGTTCGGTAAATTAGCTTCATGAACAACAGATTCAAGATTCCATTTCTTACCAAATAAAAATATCTATGAAGGGAATTTGCAGTGAATATACTTACTGTGTTCCTGATAATCAAAATACGACATTAGCAAAATAAAAAAATACATATATTTTCATTGAAATTACTATTTCATCAGTGATATAACTATTTTAATGAAACTACTCAAAAACTGAAAATACTCAAATATTGTAAACTTTAAAATAAATTATATATAGAAAAATTCAAAGCTTGCTAGTAGCATTATAATTAATAAAACTCATAAAAACTGAAAATACTCAAATATTGTATACTTTAAAATAAATTATATATAGAAAAATTTAAAGCTTGCTAGTAGCATTTACAAAGAAACTTATTTTGCTATATTAACTAGCATATACAATCACTGAACAAAAATCTTTAAATGGCAAATATTTTGCTTAGTTTGTGTAAATAGATCACATTGGAAAACAGACAGGAGAGACAGAATCATACTCCTATAGTCCTTATAAAATAATTGAATAATGAGCCCTATTCCACTCCACACACATTAATTTCATGTTTTTGTTTTGTTTTAAATTTTCATGTTGAATTTTTTTTTTTTTTTTTTTTTTGAGACGGAGTTTCGCTCTTGTTACCCGGGCTGGAGTGCAATGGCGCGATCTCGGCTCACCGCAACCTCCGCCTCCTGGGTTCAAGCATATCTCCTGCCTCAGCCTCCCGAGTAGCTGGGATTACAGGCACGTGCCACCATGCCCAGCTAATTTTTGTATTTTTAGTAGAGACGGGGTTTCACCATGTTGACCAGGATGGTCTTGATCTCTTGACCTCGTGATCCACCTGCCTCGGCCTCCCAAAGTGCTGGGATTACAGGTGTGAGCCACTGCACCCGGCCTGGGACCAGATTCTTAAAGAGGTTTACCCTTGGTCAGCAGTTTGAATTTTATTCTAAGTGCAATGAGAAAACATTGAAAGCTTGTGAGGGTTGAGGGAAAGGGCTGGTGGTATGAACCAATTTTACATTAAATACATCACTTTCATTCCATTGTGGAAAATAAACCTTAATGGGGGCAAGTTTTAACTGACTCAATTTGTTCATGAATTCCAGTTTAGTGCCAAATTATGTTTAGCATTACAACTATTTTGTCTATTATTACTGAACTGACCAGTTTATTTTGGGGTGCGAAAGGTGCTTAGAGATAAGAATAAAAGAATAATTTCATTTAACTAACCACTATTTAAAGTTATTTTTATCATCATTAAGAGATTTTTAATCATTTTTATAGGCAAGATAAAATTCAAGAAATGAAATATTTGAACTCTTTTAATTTCTCTTCATATGTATATTAAGTATCTGCAAGATTACATGAAACAATGAGCAAACTGAGCAGAAAGATTTTCAGAACAAGCTACATTTCAACTTGTCATGAGCCACCTGGTCATGTACTAGCTTCCTGCAAAAAAACTACTTATTTGAGACTCAATTTTCCTTTCAGATGGAGTATTCAATATTTCTTAAAAACCTATGTCATTACCCTACCTGTGTTTAAAAGGAAATACACGTTTTCTTTAAAAAAAACCTATGTTACATTTTATAAATATGGAATGACCAAAACCACCTTGCTATATTTTTTAACGTGATAAGGAATTCAAAAGAAAGCGAACATGAACAACAATTAGTCTAAAAATATATGATTTCTTCAACGGTGCAAACTCCTGCTTCCTTTTGTTAAGATGCATTCTCCACCATTCCACAGCCCCTACCCCACCATAATCTTCAAGGCTACTGGGTGTCCTGGTGAATGGAAGGTCTCAATAAATGCTAGCTTCTTTCAAAATAGTGTAACGACAGATATTTTATATTAAATAACAGGGGTCAAAACTATACAAATTGTCATCAAAGTAAGGAATGCAATGTACATTTATGTTTAAATAGAATATTCATTGCA